GTGGCTGCTGGCTGCCATCTTGGTTGGGTTAATTTGCATATAGTCGCTCTGATTGGCTGGTGGGCATGGCTTAAGGCATAGCGAAGGTACGGTCAGTTTGCATGTTTGTCTTTTATTAGTGTATATAGTTTTGTAGAATAGTTTGAAATCAAGACATGTGATACTTTCAACCTTGTTCTTCCTTCTCAAGACTGCTTGGGCTACTGTGGTCCTTTGTGATTTTTATAAATTTTAGAATTATTCTTGTTTTGAGAAGAACTCCATTGGTATTTTGCTAGGGATTGCATTGAATCTGTAGATTACTTTGTGTAGTATGGTCACTGTAATGAAAATAATCCTTCCAATCTAAGTGTGGCATATCCTTCCATTTATTTTTGTCTTACAGTTTTCAGAGTACAGGTCTTTATTCAATGTCTTACAGTTTTCAGAGTACAGGTCTTTCATCTCCTTGTTTAAATTTATTCCTAGGTATTTTATTTTTTTATTATTATTATTTTATTCTTTTTGATGCATTAAAAATGGGGTTAATTTCTCTTATGATCATTCATTATTAGTGCATAGAAACTTGACAGATTTCTGTAGATTTCTATATATTTCAGCTTTACTAAGCTCATTTATTAGTTCTAATCACATTTTTGTGTGGAATTTTTAGGGTTCTCTCCATATTGTATCATGTCATCTGCAAATAGGGATACTTTTACTTCTTTCTTTCCAGTTTGGATGACTTTTACTTCTTTTTCCTGTCTGGTTGCTGTGGCTAGTACTTCCAGTACTATATTGAATAGTAGTGGTGAGAATGAGCATCCTTGTCTTGTTCCTGATCTTCGAGGAAAAGCATTGAGTATGATGTTAGCTGTGGGCTGGTCATATATAACCTTTATCATCATGAAGTAAGTTCCTTCTGTACCTACTTTGTTGAGAGATTTTATCATAAATGAATATTGTATTTTGTCAAATTCTTTTCTGCATCTATTGAGATGATCATAGATTTTTATTGTTGGTTTTGTTGATGTTATGTGCCACAGTAATAGTTTTGTGGATATCAAACCATTCTAGTGTCCATGATAAAAATCCCACTTGATCATGGAGTATGATCTTTTTAATATTGTTGAATTTGGTTTACTAGTATTTTGTTGAGAATTTTTACATCTATGTTTATCAGGGAAATTGGCTTGTAATTCTTTTTGTAGTGTCTTTGTCTGGTTTTGGTATCAGGGTAATGTCAGTCTCATAGAATGAGTGTGGAAGAGTTCCTTTCTCTTTAATTTTTGGGAACAGTTTGAGAAGGATAGGTATTTATTCTTCTTTGAATGGTAGAATCCACCTGTGAAGGAGTCTGGTCCTGGACTTTTATTTCTTGGGATTTTTTTTTTAATTGATTTCAAAGAGGAAGGGAGAGGGAGAGAGAGAAACATCAATGATGAGAGAGAATCATTGACTGGCTGCCTCCTGCATGCCCCACACTGGGGATTGAGTCCGAACCTGGGTATGTGCCCTGACAGGGAATCGAACTGTGCACTCCTGGTTCATAGATCAACCAGTCAACCACTGACCCACACCAGCCAGGCAGGAGTTTTATGTGTTTTTTAATTACTGCTTCAGTTTCATTGCTAGTAATAGGTCTGTTCAGATTATTGTTTTCTTCTTGGCTTAGCCTTGAACGATTGCATATCTCTAGAAATTTATGCATTTCTTCTATATTGTCCAATTTGTTGGCATATAATTGTTTCTGGTATATGTTAATGATCTTTTGTATTTCTGTGGAGTCAACTGTAATCTCTCTCATTTCTGATTTTATTTATTTGGGCTCTCTTTTTCTTGATGAGTATTGCTAGAGATTTGTCAATTTTGTTTATTGTTGCAGAAAATCAGCTTTTAGTTTCATTGATCTTTTTAATTGTTTCTTTTGTCTTTATTTAATTTATTTCCCCTCTGATCTTTATATTTCCTTCCTTCTACGTAGTGGGGGATTCAGTGCCTTCTGAGTGCCCACTTCCTGGTTCACAGACAGCTGTCTTCCCCTGTGTCCTCACATGGTGGAAGGGACTAGGGGTCTCTTGGGGATTCCTTTTCTGAGAACACTAATCCTATTTATGAGAGAAGAGCCCCAATTACCTCTCAAAGACCCCACATCCAAATACCAGCACATTGGGGATTAGGTCCCAATATATGAATTTTGGGGAGGATACAAACATTCAGTCTATAGCAGTGGTTCTCAACCTTCTGGCCCTTTAAATACAGTTCCTCATGTTGTGACCCAACCATAAAATTAGTTTCGTTGCTACTTCATAACTGTAATGTTGTTACTGTTATGAATCGTAATGTAAATATCTGATATACAGGATGGTCTTAGGCAACCCCTGTGAAAGGGTCGTTCGACCGCCAAAGGGGTCGCGACCCACAGGTTGAGAACCGCTGGTCTATAGCAAGTACATAGTTTAAACACAAGTTAAAACCTGTTTTTTAAAAACATGTGAAAAATCTTCAGTCTCCGTCTGGGAAGAGGGGCTCTGGCGGCAGCTCCGGATTGCGTGTGCGCATGGGAGACCGCTTCTCAGACCACTTGCAGTTGTGAAAGTCATGTGATGATTAGCCCATGTCCATCATAAAATGTTTGGCTGTTTTTTTTGTGTGGACATTTACTTGGTATGGCCAGCAGGATTCCAACAAAGCACGCCCTGAACCACCCTGCAGACCCAGACCCAGTGTCAGGCACTTTTCAGGAGTTTATGGAACAGAATAAGTTAGAATCAGTAAAAAGAAGAAATTCAACCATTCTTGGTGAGCCAGCAACAGAAACTCACATAAAAAACCAGGGCCTGAGGAAAGTTCCTCAGTGGCGACCATGGAGAGAAATGTTTTCAAGTCAGAAACTAACAGGAGAGACTCAGCCATAACATCTCCAGTAAACTACAGAGAACAGCGAGCTTGCTTTTATTGACACCATTTCAAGTAGGGTGTATTTCTTTGTTTCTTCTCCTTCCCCAGGACTTCCCACCAGAGGGGCTTGAGATGGCCAGTTGGGGGACAATGGAAGATACCCCACTCTCCATGCCTAGGGAACGATTCCCACCTGAAGTGGTCCTGAATTGAACTGGGGAGAGTAATACCAAGTTCAGCATTCTGTTTATTGTACAGGACAAGTTATGAATACAGACTATGTTGAAAATTGAAGGGGACATTTTTTTTTTAACTTCAGATTGAGCAAAATGCCATAGCCCTGATGATATTTTATCCGATGGCTGGGGAAAAATAAAAAAAATAAAAAATAAAAACATGTGAAAAATCTTCTATAGTTCAATAGGTATACATATGTAAGTTCAGCAAAGGAGTTTAGAACAATAAACTCTAACCTTGCCTCTGGCCCTAGCAACCCAGGTTCCCAGCCCCTCCTTGAGTGGAGGCCAGGGCGGGCTGGAAGCAGGTATCTGGGATTTATTTATCTTCTATAATTGAAACTTTGTAGCCTTGAGCGTAGCCCAGGGCCAGCCAGGGAAGGCGGGATGCTTGGCTTCCTCCATCGCTGGGGGCAACCCAAGCCTCCTGCTCGCTCCAGCTCCGTGGCCTCCGCCATCTTGTGTTAATTTTCATACTTGCTCCTGATTGGCTGGTGGGCATGGCTTGAGTGTAGCGGAGGGACGGTCAATTTGCATGTTTCTCTTTTATTATATAGGATATATACATATATGTGTATATACACATGTGTATATACATGCATACTTTATGAAATCAAATATACACATACACACTCAAACACTCACATGAAATGAGACCCAACTCAAAATTCCTCCAAGCTTTACAGTAAAGTCTCATATGTAGCCATGATGTTTGTCTTTCTTGGTCATTTTTTTTTTAACTGATTGCTTTAACAGTATAGTGAAAATGTATCGCATAGTAAAGTTATAAATATTGAAAAATTTGCAATCTATGATAGGGATGTTGGAGAACTATTTAATTCATCCTCAAGACATTGACAAATAAGAATCTTGTTTTATTTTTTCAAGCTGAACTCTATCAGGATTTCTTTTTCACCAGTTACTGTGAAAGTTTGGTCTTCTTTTCAGGTGTGTTCACTTAAAGTGGCCCATGTGTAATACCAGTTACCCTCAGAAGGGAAAGATTACTTATATGTTGTGCAGGTGGCATTTCAACAGAAAGTATAGTATTTTAAAAACTAATGAATAATGACTCACCTTGGTGGGCAAAATAGTTACATTTCTGTCTCACAAATGTAAATTCCAGGTAGATTAAATTTCTAAACATGAAAAAAATTTCAGAGTATAGGAAAATAATTTTTAGTAAGCACACGGTCTTAAAAGCATGCTTTCTCAATGGGAGTGGTGTTGAGCCTAAAGGGGAATAAATTGGTTCAGAGGAAGTGAAAAAAATCTCAGCTATTACAAGGTTTCGGCTCTCTGAAGGGCCACCACAATACACATCAACCGATATGCAGTATGTTTGGTATTAAAATTTCATGGAGAAGGAGGCAATTAGGAAAAAAAGTCTAAAAAGGCTCCATAATAGGGTTGATAATGAAAAAAACATTTGAGAAACACTGCAATAGAGAAAAAGTGACAGATTCTACAAAAACATGTATGTTAAACTTTTCAATTATGAAAGACACCACAAACACAATGAAAAGGCAAGTGACAGATTGGGAGAAGAGAGTTTACAACTTATGTAATGGACAGAGGAGTATAATTTTTAATGTATTAGAGTTCCTACAACTTGTTAACAGAAACAAGAGGAACATGGGCAAAGGGCATGGAGTTGGTGTTTGCTTTATTTACTACAGGGACTTCACTCTCAGTTTGTTTGGTGTTCGTTAGAGGTGAATGGCCATCTGTATTTTAAAGGGTATTACACATAGCACCTTTGGGGGGCCACTTCAGTTTTAGACATTTTAAACGTTTGGAGGTATGTCGTCGCAGTTGAAATAAATCATGTGGCATGGAAAAATCCACTTAGTTTTTGTTTGTTTTTTATTATGCCTGTTTCTAATTTTCTGAATGAAGTACATTATTGACTAGCAGTTTTTGTTTTTAAGAATATGGGAGTGCATTGTATTTGCAGTCACACCAAAATATTTTTGTCCTAACAGGATGATTTTGGCTATTTTATGTGTGTTTATTTAAAAAAAGTTATAGAAATTCTTGTGGTGAGATATTTAGAATAGTTACTCAAATACATTGTTTTATGTCAATGGGTATTAAATAAGTAGCCTAAATATTTACATGTTAAACATGCTAAACTAAATATTAAAATTTTAAATATTAATGTTTTTGTTACTTTAAAAGTTAATCAGAATTAATAATGTGTCTCATAACTGCAATTAAATACATCTATTTGGTCTCTTTCCGTGTATTTTATTTTATTCGTTTATTTGTTTTCATCTGGCTTTTTATTAGCAACCCAGTGGGGAGAAGATGGCCGTCCATTTCATTATCTCTTTTATACTGGCAAGCAGTCATACTACTCATTAATGCATGTAAGTATATTACATTTACAATAAATAATAGGAACTGTAAGCTAAGTAACTGATTATACCAGAGATTTTGCTAAGCTTCACGGTGTACCTAGAATGGTTCATAATGGACAAAAAATAAGACTTTTAGAGGTAAGATAGTATGTTAAAAGCTTTTTATTTTATTCATTTTTCTAAAGGTAAACATTATAGAATTTATAACAGAATGGTTTGTCTTTCAAATGCTTTTACTGAGAGGAGATAGATGCTCCCTTAGCCATAGTGCGTGTATGTGCAGTGCAGTCCAGGAAAAACGCGAGGCTGGGCAAGGCCGAGTCTGTGTAAATGTCTATGGAGTGTGGTGGGAGCTGCAAGGCACCTTGGGAGAGAGTCAGACAGTTAACTGTACTTGTTACTTAGGTACAGTTGTTGCTCCTCATAGACTTATGCAGTCTAGCAAGACTAGAAAAAAGACCCAAGAAATTATTTTATTACGTTGACTTCCACCTGCATTGGAGTATCCTGGAAGTTTCCTTTTCAGAGCCAAAGTGTGTGATAGTGCGTAAATTCAGGAATTCCCCAGAATAACTATTGGGGAGACCTGGATGCCAATATCCAGGTTTGAGCAACAGAACCCATTTCATTCTTAGAACATGTCAAGTTTTACTTTATTCACTGTATGACTTTTTAGAGTATTTATTGGGTCCCGTCCCCTCCTCCCCCATCCTCCCCCATTGATTTCAGGTTGCTTGAATCCCATGCACACATTTCCTCTGCTCTTTAGGACTGAAACCCAAAGGACAAAATCCTCACTTGTCAGGTACATTTATTTCTTGGGGGAGAAAAAAAGAAAACCTTATTTTCGTTTTTGTTGACCTTGGGCAAATGAGCTTCTTGCCCTGGCAGAAATGAAATGAATGATAAATGTAGAGTGTATCTTTGCTGAGTAATGGAGCTGAGGCGCAGGCGTTCCGCTGAGGTTGTCTCTGCACAGCCCGAGGCTGCCCGAGGACCCCTGCTGTTCATTTAAATAGGTATGTCAAATCTGCCTGCAGACGCCGCTGGTTTGATCTGTGGTAATATTTGTGAAGGTTCCATATGGACTTAAGCCCCCTGCAGTGCTAAGAAATAATGTACAACGCTTCATGGTGCAGACGCAAATTTCCTCTGAAAGGGGATGCAGTGCTGCGTTTTAGCTGTCGGAGGGGATGATGGAGCTGACGCGCTAGGCCTGTCAACTTGTTACACGGATGGGTTGCACGCAGCGAAGCTGTGGAAAATCTGTGCCTTTTAACTTTTCTACTTAATCACGGCTGTAGCATTGCCTTTAGACTGTATGCTACATTAATTCCCTTCCTGCCTCCTGCCTTTCATCCCAAGTTTCACGGGAGAAAGTAAAGCATGCAGGTCTTGTGCAGGCGCCTTATCAAACAGCTGTCAGCCCACAAGCCATTTGCATTTGTTTTGGCTGAAACTGAGCAACCCAAGGGCAAGATGTTTTGCTGCATTCCATCATAATGAAGAAATTACACATTGTAAGAGAGGCCTAACTTTATTTTTGTTTATGTCTTTTAAAAAGGTATTGCTCAAGAAACTGGTTAGTTTCTCAGTGGATAAAATAGCATACTCTGACTGAAAAGTCAAATTATATATGATTGATAAACTTTCTTTTTGAGTAATATGGTTCCTGTTACATATAGGAGAGTTCCTTGGCTTTTATATTTCAGTTAAATTCTGTAATTTAATTTAGGTCAGTTTGTTTTCTTGGGTGTTTGAACTTCCCAAACTGTATGGGATTTAGGTTTGGTTTTATTGCTGATCAGAACAGTTTACAGATAGGAATTACAGATATTTGGGGTTAACTTGAGCATTTTAATTTTAATTCAGATAATCATAAAACCTTGTATTTTCAACAATGTGTTTTATGGAATTTTAAAGTAATTATATGTATGGGGAAAAGGATAAATGTTTTCCTAAATGTATGCCCATCACTTTAGCATCATGTGTGGCACTTGTTATTAATTACAGCTCTAGTCACACCAGTCTCGTTTCCAAGATCATGCAGACCAACGTCATCTCAGATTCGGTTTGCTGCTTTAAATAGCATGTGACTCAGTGCTTGCTGGTGGGCTTACAGGACTGGTTTTGTAGTGAAGTCAAGTATTGCACATAAAGTAAAACAATGAAAATGGAAACTGCTTCACGTGTTTGCTCTCTCCTTTGTTCTGCCTTCTCTTGGTGGTGGGGCTGCTGTTCCATTCTCTGTTATGTGAGTCCACTCCTGCCCTCCGCTGCAGCAAGGGGGTAGGCCCCAGAGACTATGGGGCATTAAGTACTTGGAAATGAATGATTGTTGTTTCCATTTCTTTTGGTTGATACAATTGCTTTTCATGTGATGATATAAAAGATACTGAGCCATATCAGTTTTCCCAATTGAAGCATGGCAGTCATCGGCCAAGCTTTCTGACACAAAGACACAGGCCTAGAGCAGTGTGCAGTTCTACTAGGAGACCTTTCTGGTGCCATTTAACCATCCTGTCCTCTGTGCCAGTCTTCCTTTTAGTATTTAGTCCCTGCTTGCATGTTAAGCCTATATGTTACATTATAGCAACTAATAGAAGGGAGTCCTGATACAGCTTACAGTTAAGGATATATAATGCTTTGGTGAACACTGTCCAGTTGGCCTGTAATTGGACCATCTAATTTTTGTGGAGAAGCAGGGAGATTTTTGAGGGAGGATGAAGATGAAAAGCAAGAAGCAATTTATTGTTCCATTGAAATGAAGTATAGGAAAGAATAAAGTAAGGGAAA